AGCCAAATCCTATTTAGAAATTAGAAGTATGTCGCCTATTACACGAGTCATTAAATGATGTTTTCGCATAACGTACTTTTAGTTAAAGTACATCATGAAATCATGCAACTAAATTTCAATAATCAGATAAAAGAAAAGATACAAGCATGATACTGGGGACAATTTGTGCAATTCAAAAGTGTAAGGTAGGATAATAAGTCGGAGTTTAGACCTTCAGCAAATCCAGGAGTTTCGGTATCTGGAGGGAAGATGAGGGAGATATGAATGTTGTCTGCTATTATCTCCTGTTGCAAAGCTTCTGCCATACCCCTAAGGGCAAATTTGCTAGCTGAATAAGCTGTATAACCATAAATACCAACCTGGAGAAAATATAATGCCAAATTAAACATAAATTATCTAAATACGGCAGGAGGAGGAAGATTGTTCAGAGTGAATACGAAATCAAATTGAAATTAGACTTCTTAAAACATCGAGTTCAATCATATATTACAGACTAGATTTTGAGATTCTCTTCAGTCTCCAATTCACTTATCATTTGACCCATGTATTACCAATAGTTATCATAAAACATTGCAAGTGCCAAAATGCTCATATTAGTGTCAGCAAACCAAGTTGCAATATCAGTATCCTACCTATCAAGTATCTTCACTCTCTCAATCCAATGCATGTACAGGGATAAACTAATCAAACACAGTTTGCTGTTAGCTTGATAAATACTGATTAAACTAAGAAGTAATAAACTCAATTTCACTCACCAGCTCAATTAAGTAATGAACACTTAGTGCGTTAGTAGTTTTCACGCACAAACTAGTAACTAGTGCTAACCACAGCTTAGGCAAACTCAATTACACTCACCAGCTAAACTAACGCCTATTATAGAGTGTTAGTTGTATTCTTATTTCTCTTTATTTTTTTCACATCCATAGATATGCATATAACTTATAATTCTCTGTGATGATATGCAGGAGTATTGAGTTTTATTGGCATAATCTAAATAATGCAATGTTACCAAATCATAATGTCAGGTGCTTTTATTTCCGCTTAGTCAATCGGTTGATTAGTATTTACTTGCCAATTTCCAATATTCCTGCTCCTCTCTAATTTATGGTTGGCCAGTTTCTCAGCAATAAAGTCCTTAGGATTTCATATTCATCCAGTACTCAACAAATCTCACGCCAACATAAGAGAATCAACACATCTAAGAAAAGACAAGGGAGAAATAACTAAGAAAAAATTGTCCAACTTAATATTTTCAGCTTAGAAAATAGCAGCAGCAAGGAAGTAGAATTTGAACTCTTATGTAATAATCAAAAAACCACCTGAGAATACAACAGGAAAGTCTCTTCTATTGAATAATTTCAGCATTCGTTCTAGGACATTATTCAACAATCCAAATAAAGACTCCAAGTAACAACACTAAAGCAACTTAACACAGACCTCCAAAATTATGTTCGACTAAATTTTACTTCTTTTTAACCTTAGCCAAACATGCGCGACAGGTGGGAGATGGAGTGGCACTGGAAGATTTGAAACAGGAACACACTGCAATGTGTGAAGAGAATTGCAGAAAACAGATAGAAGATACTAAACAAGAAATGCACAGGGAATGCAAGTTTATGGATTCTAATTCAAACCAGAATCATACTATTCAATTTCTTGAATATATACCTGACCCGCCTGCGATGACATGATCGCAATGGAACCTGGCCCCCTCTCCACCCTATTCTTCTTCATTCCAGGCAAGGCCGCCTTAATCAAATGAAAAGTACCCATCAAATTCACATCAATCATAAATTTGATCTCCTCTAGTTCCTGCGTCTCGAGCTCCTGCGGCACATACACTCCGTGATTACAAATCAAAACATCAATTACCCCCACCTCCTCCACGACTTTCTTTACACTCTCATAATCCCTGACGTCAGCGCTGAAGATCCTGACGTCACGCCCCGTTGCCAGCTTAATGGACTCCTTGGCCTCTTCGAGCTTGCTGACATTGCGGGCGAGGAGGGTGACATCAGAGCCTAGCTGAGCGAATTGGTGAGCAAGGGCGAGGCCGATTCCGCTGGATCCGCCTGTGATGAAGACGTGGCGATTCTTGATTGGGACGCGGACGGGCCTGGGTCGGACGATGAAGTACAGGAAGATGAGGATAGAGAGGGGGATGAGGAGGATTAGAGAGAAGAGAGAGAAATAGGCATCCGCCATTGAAAACTTCTTTTTGGAGGACTGTGCGTGGATTGGTAGTGTATCAACTGCTGAAATCAGGGGGTAGGCGGAGGTGGAGTATCCGAGGACATGTTTGGCCTACTTAAAAGCAAGTCCAATTCACTTATTTTACAAATTTGTATCAGTTTCTCTCTCTTTTGCAAGTATGCGATGCCATCAATAGACTTGATGCCTGCTGTGATATCTTTGATATAGATATTGAGAAAATCATACATCAAAAGCTGGCTATTAAGATTAGATAGCTCAAGTCCATAATTTCAACGTGAAATTCAAATTTCATGTCATACGGTAAGAACCACGACATATAACAGATATTTTAAAACACATTTTTTCTTGGTCATTTTCATCATGTGACTTTTTATCAGACAATCTCTAATAATAACACTTTTTCATAAAAATTATTTCCAAAATCTTATATCAAACAGACTTTACGATAAAATTATTTCAAAGTAAGTAATTTACTTTTCAAATCTAAGTTGTTTAAGCATCGCCAAACAGGACCAAACCATTGACGATGCCGAAGAGGGGCGTTGACGAGTGTCTGACAGCTAAGTTAGAGCTAACCTGAAAATTCCCATTTATTTATGAAAAGTGATTATTTTTGTAGGACCACTCAAATTTTAAAATATATTCAACGTCTCGATGGTTAACCTGATGACATATATTATAAAAATGTTACAGAAAAATAGAAGTTCCTGCCTTCTACAATAAAACTGTGTAATACTGAAACACCAAGAACCTATGCAACACGTACGTTATCAGAATGACGCACCAAGCACCATATCCTCAACTGCAACTACATCGATCCCCTTGAAAACAACGCGCAGTTTCCTCAAACACGACTGTTTCTTGTCACCTTTTCCGGCCATGCCATTAACATGGACAATGTCTTTGGGAACTTTATCCATTAGATCAAACAATGGTAAATCGAGATTTGATCGAGTCATCTCTTCTAGTACAGGAGGCGCCTGCATGTACAAATTCTTCCCTCGGTGAGTAACACTCACTCTACTGAGGAGCAGCCCGGGATGACCTTCGAGCAGATCAATGAACTGTTGCAAGACCACATAATGGAATGCGTAAATGCAATAGTTTAAGTAGAAAATGCAAATTCAAGACCAAAAAAAATGTAAAGTGGAATCTTAATAAATACTGAGGTAACTAACGTATTAAACAAACCATGTTTAATGAATAGATAAATTATTCGCGTGAGAACGCCCAGAATCTTATGAAAAAAGCATCTGGTCATGTGGGTAGCCCCAGTCATGATGAATAAAAAACGACTGTTTAAGAGTCAAATACTGTTGATACCAATATAAATACTGCCACGAAGGAAATAGAGAAGAAAGAAAAGAGATTAACCTTTCTCAAGGTAATGGAAGTATCGAGCTCAATAAGAACACCAGGACCGCAAACTAGACAGTCTTTGTCTCTGACGAACTCCGTAACTTTGGTATGGAGACCTTCAACTCCATTGTATCTGTAACAAAATATTACAATTATAAACAAATAGGTTCAACTTCAAATGATAGAAAGAAAGTTAAGACTAACCAAAAAAAAATAAAAATCAAATCAAATCAAATCAAAATGAGATGTGGAAGGCAAAAATATAGCAGATAAGCACAAAACAACAACAATGCACTCTCCACTCAAACTTGGCTAATTCCATATTTGGCAGGACAAACAGAAGGCAGCAGACTTGTTATAATCACTATCTCAGTGTAATCAGTGTCAAGAATTGGTGCCATAAATTTCACAATGAAAAGATCAATGCTGAAACTGTTAACGCGTGAAAACAGCTGGGGTTTTCATGAAGAATACTCACTTCATTTATTAATAAAATTGAAAAACTGATGTAGGCTTACGTTAAGTAATTCGATAATGTCCTGCTGCACCCAGAAACCATCTTCAAGGTTTCCAAAGCACAGGCAGCTGAGATAATCGCATTGGTGGATGCTATAGCTGGAATGATATTTTTCACAACTCCCTGTAAACAGCAAAAACAATAATGTTGTGTTATTACATATATATTTTATGAACAAAATAAGCACATAAAGATACAGCATGTAATACAATCCAATGACCTGAGTTATATTGGCAAACCTTAAGACACTAAGAATGTGTTTGATTGGCATAAAAAATATCAGCTAGAAAAGAACATGTTCTCCTTGTCTTGAGGAAAACAAAAACCTACCCTCTCCAAAGAAAATATTTTCATTAAAAACAAGGAAAATTAGCCATATTTTCAAAGTTGAAAAATAATTTCAATGAGAAAAAATAGCAATCAAACATCCAAAGTACGAATTTGGGTGGAAAAATGATACTTTCCATTGAAAATATATGCAATCAAACACACTCTAAGTGCAGTAAAAAGTCACTTGCCAGCAGTGAAAAGGTAGAAAAATTGACAGACATTATCATTCCATGTGTCAGACAATTTAATATAGATGATGATAGCAAGTTGTAACATATTTGCTCACCTGAGTCAAAGAATATGTAACTCCTTGAATTCCAAAAAGTTCTGCCCTCTTAAGAGCCTGTGGGATTAGATCAGATGAGTTAAAAGTAACACACAAAGAGACGAGAGAGAAGTATAAGTCTCATCATCTCCTTGGATTATTAGTACAAAAATAAAAAACACTAGTTCACCTCTGAATAAACCCACTGCATATGTTCGGGGTTATCTGGATCAAAAGTTTTGCCACTGTGGACCTGTGAGTGGAACATATAATATGATAAAGCAAAAAAATACAAAGGCATCCTAAGAATCACCATAGTGTGATAGATTTAGGGGACATTCTTACCTCATCCCATTTAATCAAATGGGCATATTCGATACAATGAGCAGCAGTTCTAGGAGTTTCTGCAAGAGTACATAAAGGAAATTTTACTTGTGGTGGAAAGAGCCAAATGGTACACTCAAAACATGGTGTCGTTCCTGGCACTATAATCCTGGCATGGCCCTTGAATCCTTCAGTTCCACCATCCACCATAGGCTTGACGGTTTCTTCCCGCGGATTATCATCAGAGTCATACTCTGTTTAAACATAACAAATAGATAGAACAAATAAGTCACCAGAGTATTAAGAAAGCTTTGTTCAATTCGTGTTCAATATTTATTTTCTAATTGACAGCATAAATATGAAACATAAAATGAATTGTGTATATTATCCAAACCTATTGGAATTCCAAGGTGAAAGAAGTGTGCATGTGCTTCTGAATGGTATTTGGTTCTTTTTTGCGTTTTATCCAGAGTGTGAGGATTAATTTTTTGTCTGGAACTTAGTGAAACCTCCAGTTTATCAAAATTCATGTCCAAGGTTCACATAAGGGCTTTACAGCTGCTTTATTAGGAGGCAGATGTAACAGAGCACAGCATCCAGCATCACTAGGAAATACATTGCATTGTCTTTCTTTTATTGTGTCAATAAGCTATTTACCAACAAAAATAAATAAGTTATTCTGAATTCAAAAGTAATAAGTATATATCCAGTTTGCCAATTGCTTTAATAACAATACAAATAGTTACAAAGAATATAAGCATCCAGTAACGCAATACACACCCTTGAGCTTGTAATTTACCGTATTTCTCAAGCACGTGCCTAGTCAAACACATGCCAATGTGTCCAAAGTTAAGTAGTTACAGGAATAAAGCTATGTTTAAAGCTCAGAATGCTCCACATGAAACTCCGGACATAATTGTATTTTCAGTATGCTTTTAACTCTTTGGAACTAGGTTCAGTTTTTTCATGGAATCTAGAAGGTGATTATTTACTAAAATATGTTTAGCATGAGGTATATCAAAAAGGTTCACATATGATCTATGGCAAAAGGACCAAGAATTGAATTCAACAAATGGGACAACCCTTCCCATCCAAATCCAAAAAATTAATATTGCAATGCATCGAACTCATTTATAAGCATAAGCTATTAGAGAAGGGGATTTTACTTATTTATATCTCCATCATACTCTCTTGGTACACAAATTTTCCATAATTGGGCCATGGTTAAACTCAAACTCAGGAACTTTGCCTGCTCAAATGCTATGTCGAAGCACCACGTTTAAAAGCTTAAGTTATTAGAAAGAAGGATGATTTTATTTATTTATATTCATATCTTCAACAAAATGAACATATAAAGTCAAAAGTTTCACCAGATTAATAAAAGATGATGATTCAAGCATAATATTATTGGCCGAACTTCATAAAAGGAACAAAAAATCATAATCCCCAATACCCATTAATTTTGCTATATCACAATTATTACAAAACCTAAAATTTATAAATAGATTAGTCATTATAAGGAACAAAAAATCACAATCCCAAATACCCATTTATTTTACTAAATAAGCATCATTAGGCAAATATTTGTTCGTTTCAGATGTTAACAGGACCAAAATTTTATAGACAGATTATAATCTAAAAGGGGAAGGCAAACCTAGAAAGCCACAAGCAACGGCATTTATGTAGCTTCGAGCCTCGATGGAATCAAGACCGAGGACAATTATGCTGAAATCACTATAGAAATCCAATGGTTTGTCCTCAATGCGACAGAAATGCGACGTGATATTCACTCCACTAACTCTTTCCATCACTCTTTTTGCAGCAACTTCAGCCTTTGGCTTTCCTACATCTTCAAGCCTACAGAAAATTATCAACAATAAGACTTTTTAGCATAAATTAAACTTTCCTCTAAAATCCAACAACTTCAGTAAAAAAAAAAAAAGAAGAGAAAAAAAAAAGGTGAACTGGAAGTTTCATATTCATTAGTTTTAAACTCCAAATTAAATTTCTTTGCAATTGGAAGCATGGATTAGGGCCTCATAACCAGGGTTGTAATAAGACTTCGGATGCCAAATCTGCTAAGGCTTGGGTTGTCAAACTCTGGTTCGGACCAACTTGAGAGATTCACAGTTACATGAGAACATTGTTACACTTAGGATTTTTTCTACCTGCCTCAAACTCAATTTGGTAGGTTAACAAATATCAAAACAGCAGAAATCAATAATGCTGTTCAAGTTGGCCTTTAATTCTGGCAAAAAGCTCAATCAAGCTAGCAGAAAACAA